CCAGCCGCCGGGAAACAGGAGTAGGCGTTCCAGGCGCGATCGAGATCGCTCTCGACGAGCAACATATGGTCCGGTACTGTCTGCACGAGGGACTCGAAGGCAGAGGGTGTGGGCTGGTGCAAGGCATCGCCGAGATTGATGGCGGTACTAAAGGAGACGAAGATGTGGGCGGGGATGGTTGGATGTAGATACTGCTTGAAAGTGGAAGGGGAGCCAGAGTAGCTGTGAAGGCAGATGCGTGGCGGGAAGGGGGGTTTAGTATTTGTACTGTTAGTATTAGGGTTGTGTTGGTGAGAAAGGGATTCCTGGAAACTACCATCCCTGGTTTGACACATTTCCCTATTCTTTCTCTCCCTATCCTTTCTCTCCCGTTTACTCACGACCTTCTTTTCCCATCCCCTCCACCCCTCCTGTAAACACTCCAACAACACCCCATGCGCCTGCACCCCATGCACACTCACCGCCCGCCCCATCTCCCCCGCAAGCTGCAGCTGCAGTCTGAAAACCCTCTTCTGGTGCTGCAGCGAGCAGCGAAACGGCGTGAGGCGGCGGCCCTCGCGCCCGCCCACCGTCAGCCTGTTGTCCCGGGTCTCCCATGATGAGGGGACGAGGGCCCAGGGCTCGGGGATCCGGAAGGAGCGGTCAAGGCCGATTTCGCCGATGAGGGCGGTGGGGTGGCGTTGTAGGTGGGCGCGGGTTCGGGCGAGGAAGGTGGAGAAGGGGGTTGGGTCTGGGAGGGAGAGGAAGATGGCGCGGTCTGCTTCGGTGGGAGTGGGGTGGGAGGGTTGGAGGATGGAGTGGTAGTGGGAGATTTTGGCTTCGCCTGTGAGAGATTTGGGGGCTTCCTGGTCGTTGGTGTTGTCATTATTGTTGTTGTTGTTGTTGTCGTTGTTGTCGTTGTTGTCGTTGTTGTCGTCGTTGTCGTTGTTGTCGTCGTCGTCGTCGTCTGAAATGTACATTTGGTGGGCGAACCATGGATGCCAACCAAAACATGGGAGGATGCGTTCTTGTCTTGTCCATTTGCTGGGCTCGCTAGACCGGATGCCGTGTTTTTCTGCCGTGGCGAGGACGAGATGTTGATCTTCAGCTCGTGTGGCCATTACGGTGAGGACCCGTGCTTTCATGTTTACGAGCTTGTCCATGCTTGACATTGTGTCTGTGGGATGGCAGTGGGCATCGTAGACACCGAGATGCCATGGGAATGGCTCGACCCTGCTCTTTTCGACTGCCATCTTCAGGCTGTATCGTGGGTGTCGTGTTGCAGCCACAATTCAAGACTGTTCGTCTCTCGGAATCATCTCTACTATGGTTACCATCTTCTTTTCTGTGCACCGGTATCTCCTACGTTGAGTTGTGCTTCGAGATGGACATGATGATGACGTAGGTCAATGGTGATTGGCTCCAGAGGGCAGCTTGCTCAACCCCCGCCCGTGGCCCGGACACACTTGGTATCAACTCCAACCTCCTACCACTTACACCGACCGACTTTGGACTATCTGACCCAGACCAATCCACAACTCTCTCAGCGTGACGTCTATCAGAGTGACAAGATGCAAGCTCACTTGAACCCATCCTCTTGGACCTATGCGAAGCTGCTCTTGCATCGAAGCCTCCGCATGAAGTGCTGATTTGCATCTCCAACACTGATTTACAGAATGCTTCCACGTTGAGCGGCCCTTTTTACCATTTCTCTTACGTTTGACATGCAAGCAAATGCCAACCAGCCGAAGAAAGCTTACTCGACGGGACCGAGTATGGCGTGAGTATGCACGCTGAACTAGGTACTTCCGCGCTAACCCCGCAATGATTTCCATGTCCTCTTCATCCCGCAGAACTTGTGTATACACAAAGTGCTAACCGATCACAACGGCGTCCTGTTAATCTGAGCAAAAGGACGGGTACCGGTCAAGAGAAAGATTGTCCCTGGAACGTACTTCGTATCCTGTCCCACGCTCAGTCACCGCCTTTGTCACTTCTGATTTCAAGATACTATATATCCCTCCTTCAGCTAACAGACTTCTACTCTGTCGTTCAAACACAGCAGATCAAAACCTTCACACCCTAGCAGCGCAGCACTCCCCAACCCATCCACAATGCCAGGCCGTCTCGAGAACAAAATCGCCGTCATAACCGGATCCTCATCTGGAATCGGGCGCGCCATCGCCCTGACCTTTGCCTCTGAGGGCGCCCGCATTGTCTGTTCCGACCTGACCGAGTCCTTCCGCCCCGAATACCGCACCGACGCCTCCCCCCTCACCACAGTCCAGGAAATCGAGAAACTGGGCGGCAAAGCCATATTTGTGAAATGCGACACCACCTCGGCGTCGGATATGCAGGGCCTGATTGCCACGGCTGTGGAGACGTATGGGCGCGTGGACATTATGGTGAATAATGCAGGCATGAGTGTGGAGAGTGGGGGTGGACATGGTCCGCGGCCTGTGTGGGAGTTTGAGGAGCGCGCGTTTGAGCGGACGTTTGAGGTTAATGTCAAGGGCGTGTTTTTGGGGTTGAAATATGCTACGGCGCAGATGATCAAGCAGGATGCACATGCGAGTGGAGATCGTGGCTGGATTATCAATCTAGCAAGTGTATATGGATACAACGCTTCACCGGGATTGTGTAAGTATCACCCCTTCTCTTTTACTTTTCCTCTCCCTTCCCCTCCCATTATACTACGCTCCCTTTTCTCCCCCTTTCCTCCCCCTCCCCTCCCACCCAAACCCCCCCAAACTAACCCCCAACCCACCCAGCCGCGTACGTCCCCTCCAAACACGCCGTCCTCGGCCTCACCAAAACCGCAGCCCTAGACTGCGCCCCCCACCTCATCCACGTCAACGCCCTATGTCCGGGCTACACGCAAACCGCGCTGATCCACGGCCTTCTCGCCCCCGAAGCCGCAGCCCACAAAGCCGCGCTCGAGGCCCATCATCCGCTTAGGGGCCTTGGTGAACCGGGCGATGTTGCTGCTGCGGCTGTGTTTTTAGCGAGTGCGGAGGCGCGCTGGGTTACGGGGGTGGGGTTGCCGGTGGATGGGGGGTTTTGTTGTGTGTAGGGGTTTTGTTTGGGGGGGGGAGACTGAGGTGTATTTGGTGTGGACTAGGTGATTGTGACGAGTTAGGAAGCGTGAGTATGAATGAATGAATGTGTGCAAGGGGAAGAAGAGAGAGATGTAGTAATGATGATTATACCACGGTGTCAACGTGACAGTGACAGTGGCGCTGTGATGTTCCACAGACACATGTGTACAGGTCTCAAAAAACGGTCCTCCGTCACACACGGAGGCGGAGGTATTATGATGTGAAAAAAACCAAATGTAGCATTTCTTCCCTAGTCAGTCTTCGCCATGGCATGGTATGTGTCTTGCTGGTGTTATATACACTTGTACGATACTATACTTCACAACTACTCTACCCTTGTCGTTCGCATCCACGCATGCGTCTTGTCTTCTGCGCTGCCCTTGTCTTCGGTCTTGGCTTCAGCCTCCTTTCTCTGTTATTCTGATTCTTCTAATTCTCCATCTCAATGTCCATTTCGCCCCTTCAGAGCCGCACCACCTCGAACACAATTAACAAAAAGACGACAACAAAGAGATTTCACAGACTGACAGACTGACAATTCAAACTCAACTTTCTCCTCTGCCGTTTCAATGCGTGAGTGTACAAAAAAGAAAAGGGAAAAAAAAGAAAGAAACCCAAAAAGAAAAGGAAAAGTCTAGTCTGCCAACGCAAAAGAAAACAAGCAGATTATCAGTCTCAATCCCCCATGCTCAAAAGAAAAACATTTTGGACACTTGAAACCAAAAGACGGAAACGCCATGCTATGCCCTTGCCCCATGCCAGCACAATACCTCCAGGCCCCAAGCCTGGCCCAGAAGACACAATGACCAAAAAAGAAGAAAAGAGTACAAGAATAACTTCCTCAAATTGCCCCAGTCGCCAAGACTGCGCAAAAGAGAATAGGCCAGCGAAAAAAACGGATCAGCGAAGAAACGATGTCTCGCGCGAACGAAGCCGACTAGGAAAACGCAGGGATTGCCGAGATACGGGGAACACCGACATCGCGGCGACCATGGTGGCGGGCGCGGTGCACAAAGGAGAAAGCGGAGGCGTGGATCAGCGCGTCGTCGTTTCTAGTGTGCGGGCGGGGGAATGGATCAGTCTGGTGCTGATGTGTGGTGGTGGTATATGGTAGCAGCGTATTGGTAGGGATGTGGCATGAGATATGCAGATGATAGGATATGTTTCAAGAAAAAAAGAACGATACGAAAATGTGGGGGTATTTTGTAATCATGTCTTGGGCGAGGGAAAAAGGCGCGTGCAGGATAGGCTACCTCGCTACACGGTGGATCAACCTATTGGTGTGTCAGTATGTCCAGATGCGAGGAGACAGAGACGGAAGACGAGATTGCTTACCTCAAAGTGCTAATAGTAAATGTACCAATCCACGCCAATAATGCAATCAACAGCGTCGCCGTCAGACCTTTTTGCCTCTGGCATATGCTCTTCGTATAAGGACATGCCTGAATATCATGATCACTCTCTACACAGGCCCACTTGTCGTCTGTCAGTGCGTATATAAGG